AAAAAAAAAAAAAAAAAAACTCCTCGCATTGTGAGCTTGGACCGCCTGTGTTCAACATAGATGATGGAGGCACATAATTCTTAATGTATAATTTGACTGCCTTTCGCATCTTTCTCGTTTTAAAAAGTCTAGTCACCATTCTGAAAGAAATTCTAGAGGGCTCTCTCCCACGTCTCACTCGTAAATGAGAGACTACCACTGCTCTTGAATTTCGTGGCTGAATTTTACTATTGTCGAGTACATTTGAAAGTTGACGATCACCACCGCATTGAAAGTTAAACTTACTTGACGCCTGGAGTAGAATTCCATTTTGAAGTTTAGGTTTTCTAATATATGTGTCGATATACTGCTCGAGTACCGTAACAGATTCCCTCTGCTCCTTGGTATTTTCATGTCTCAGCGATTTCTCATCTGATAGGTCGTGTATTTCACAGTTGTTCAGCATTTGGTATTTGGCATTTGTTATTTGGTATAGATTATTTGGCATTTGTATAGCATTTGTTTGATAAGTATTTGAAAGTTCTCTCTCAATCTCGCTTTCCACAATTNTGTTTTGTAAATATTGTTTTCAGTATAAATACAAAACGAAGGTGACTTTTTATGCTTCACTGTCCTCAGTTGAAAAACAAACAAATGAAGCTCACATTTAAAAAAACACTTCTTTGGGAAAACCGTAAATTTTGATCTTGTGCATTGGTCAAAGAAATGATTACGAGTAAATCCGCACAGCATAACCTTCAACATAGATGATGGAGGCACATAATTCTTAATGTATAATTTGACCGCCTTTCGCATCTTTCTCGTTTTAAAAGGTCTAGTCACCATTCTGAAAGAAATTCTAGAGGGCTCTCTTCCACTTCTCACTCGTAAATGAGACTACCACTGCTCTTGAATTTCGTGGCTGAATTTTGCTTTTGTTGAGTACATTTGAAAGTTGACGATCACCACTGCATTGAAAATTAAACTTACTTGACATCTGGAGTAGAATTCCATTTTGAAGTTTAGGTTTTCTAATATATTGTCGATATACTGCTCGAGTACCGTAACAGATTTGCTCTGCTCCTTGGTATTTTCATGTCTCAGCGATTTCTCATCTGATAGGTCGTGTATTTTACAGTTGTTCAGCATTTGGTATTTGGCATTTGTTATTTGGTATAGATTATTTGGCATTTGTATAGCATTTGTTTGATAAGTATTTGACAGTTCTCTCTCAATCTCGCTTTCCACAATTGTGGCATTTAAGTCCCAGCGAGAGGGGAACTCGACGTGAGCTTCTTCGAAGCTACACGTCTCCTGGCCTTGCGAATTACCCCTGCCAGTCAAGGGTTTCGATAATGCTTTTGTCCCCGAATATACTAGAGACTTGTTATCAGCAATTTTAGTACAAGCTACATCCATAGCACCGATAATAAAAATCGCCAACAGACAGAAATCAACTCGGTAAAAACAACACCCAACAATAACACGAAATAGCGAACCACAGCTCTTTAGAGTTTAGGAAACCATGT